AAGAATAATTTTTATGTAGTCTAATACACTAATTTTTAATGATTATTTTCTCCACTGTTTCTAACAGCACCAGTTACTTAGATGTGAGTTCCCTGCAGGTGCCCGGGCTTATCTCTTACTCTCATAACACCTGCGAAGTGGGGATTATTTTCCTCACTTAAAATACTCCAGTTTTAGATACATCTGAATCTAAAGCATGTGCTCTATCCACCTCAGCATGTAAAACTCCTCTTTCCAAATGTTTAACATTTACTACCATTTTCTTTAGATTCAGGGGCATTTGTGATTTTGTTATTAGTTACTACATTTCCATATAAAAAAGTTTATTTCTGGGGTTCTGAATAAGTACGGATATTTTACAGCCAGAATGATACTGTTTTAATGAATGTGGCTCTATGTTTGTCTTATCTCATTACTCATAATTATTCTGCCAAGTTCACCCCAAAGTAAACATATCCATAACATGCAGATATGACAGATATGGCCTCTCTTTCCATTTAAGGTACCCCTTCAGACCTTTCACGATACTTTATGGTCTCCTCCATAGAGCGCACACTTGACTCTATAAGGTTGGGGTTTTATATGGTTCACTTGTTTGGCAGCAATGTGGTCAGAGCCAGTTTCTTTTCCGGGTTTTTTTTTTTTTCTTTTTGCCATGGTAGGTTATTTCTGGAATTCAGAAAGCTATTGATTTTATACATACACTAGTACATGGTCACTTCATCAATTTTTTGCCTAATAATTTTTGTTATTGTTTTCCTAGTCAATAGCATCTATAAATATTTCCCTTCTTTTCATTTTGGAGTCTCACTTCACTCCAACCTCATGTATTACTGCTTTATCGAAACATAAAAACCTTGTTAAATAATGTCCCAGTTTTTAATTTGACTCACTGACACTTTTAAGTATAGTGCAGACAACTAGTTTAACATTTATGTGTACTTTTTGCATACAAACTACTTATTGCAACTTTTATTTATCCCCACCTTTTAAAAATAAGAAACCAGGCGTTTTTTATTTTTATTTTTTTTAAATCAAACACTGATTTGACCTTAGTATACTTGGTGAAGTCAATGTGAATTCCACAGGAAAGCCCACATCTTTTCCAGACAGCCCTCTGAGATGGCTTACCTGGTCTCCCCACTTCAACTCTCCACCCCCAGCACGCCCCCACATTTTGCATGCAGCAACTAGAGTGGCTGTTTAAAGATACAAATCTGATTATGTAACTCCTCTTAGTAAAACCCAACCAGTATCATGGTTTCCCATTTCACCTGGGATAAAATACAACCACTTTTACCTGGCCTACAAGACCCTACCTGATCTGGCCCCTGGCCTAGCCACTCTTGCCCTTCACCTCCACAGTCTATCCATAGTCATTCTTTCAGTTCCTGGAATGGGCAAAGCTTTTCCCCCTTTGAGTCTTTCCCACATGCTGTTCCTCTGCCTGGAAAATTATTCCCCACTTCCCTCCACACTAACACCTACTCATTCTTCAAATCTCAGCTTAAATCTCATTTTTACAGAAAAGCCTTTCCTAGGCCCCTTCTCTCGACTCTAAAATTTGGTCTCCCCTTTTTTATACTCCCTCAGAGCTGCTTAACTTCCACAGCAGATATCATTGTTTGTGATCATACGTGTAGTTCTGTGATTGTGTTTAAATTCTGATCCCCTCCCCCTCACAGATTCTGTGCTTCAGGAAAACAAGAACAAGTTGATTTTGCTGTCCACCCTACATATGGCCAGTGTACATATGTACATATGTATCTCACATGTATCTGAAAGAAAAATACTTACAGAGCCCCTAATCACATCTTGTACACTTACAACTTTACCATCACATCATTCAGTCATTCATTACTTAAATGATTAAAGTATAAAATCTCAATATTAAAACTCTTTCTTACACAGCCTACAAATTTAGTAACAATCCCTTTTCTCTGAAGGACATAAAAGATAATCTGAATCTGCTGCTATCACAGAAAAATACATGTACAACTTACAACTCTAGGAAATAAGCATAAATATTACAGTGAGGGCATTGTTTTGTCTAGTGTTCAGTTTGCTGATATGTTTATTCACAGTCAACTAACTTATATGCCTTATTTTTCAAGGCATGTAAAAGCATTAGCGGCTGGGCACAGTGGCTCATGCCTGTAAACCCAACACTTTAGGAGGACTGCTTGAGGCCAGGAGTTTAAGACCAGTTGGGGCAAGATAGTAAGACCCTGTCTTTACAAAAATAAAATAAATCAGCCAGGTGTGGTGGCACACGGCTGTAGTCTGTCCTAACTACCAGGGAGGCTGAGGCAGGAGGATCATTTGAACCCAGGAGTCCGAGGCTGCAGTGAACTAGGAATATGCTACTGCACTCCAGCCTGGGCAACAGAAAGAGATCCATTTTCGTTCTCTCTCTTTTTTTTTAAAGAAGAAGAGAAAGAAGAAAAGAAAGCCCTAGGTAAAAATCCTTTGTAAAATATTGTTAAGAAGTCCAACGTATTGTCAGGAGTTAATAAAAATTAATTTAAAAATCACAAATTAAAAGGCATTCAAAGTTGACTATCTCTAGGGCTCTATGAAATATAAATGTTATTTCAAATAATTTTGGGATCACAAAGGCTAATAAAACCAATCTTTATATACTACTTTACACTCAAAAAAAGCATATGCATTGTATCACTGAACTTTATGCAGTAGGCAGAGCAGGCCATTTACAGAAAAGAAAACTAAGGCTTGGTGTGATTCAATGTCCTCCCCAAGGTCACACAACTTGTAATTGGTAAGAGTCAGAACTACCATAGGGGAAGGGTGGTTGCTCCCACCTGTAAATTTCTTGACCAAAAGAGAACTCCATCATAAATGCCTAGTCTGTATAATTAGTGTACATCTGTGCTCCTACCACCGAAATTTCATCTCACCAGAGAACCACTACCAGCGAAAAAGCTGTTTTAAAGTTAAGACTTAAACTGCTATCAATTTGGGAAATGGCTGAACCACGGTATATTGAAACTATGGAACGTGATGCAGTTGTGACAAACGAGTTGAAGCATTATATGCTAAAATTGAAAGTTAGGCTACAACAGTCCTTGTTAAATGAGTCAAAAATGATGTAAGAATACACACGTAAAAGTATTCCAAAAGATCTAGAAGGATACACGCCACACACAACACACAACAGTCGGCATCCCAGGAGACAGAGGGACAGCCAAAGACAAAATGCCATCTCTATGATACGCTGTTTTTTACAAAGAAAATGTACTGTTCTGCTCGTTTAAAATTAATTTTTAAATTTTAAATTAACCTGTGGGTTGAACAAGGTCAATTTCCTGCTCTTAAAAAAAACCGTGCATCTACAAAGGAAATAGGGGCCCTCGCTAAAGAAGACAAAATGCCCAAAAACCGTTTTATCCTGTGAAAACAATAAACTGTGTAAATTTCAGAAAACGTTCCTTTAAGAAGGCAATAGCTCGGCGATCTTTTCTCAGTATCGGGCCTCCTTTGTTGCAGTAAGACAGCCCATAAACCAACCAGCAACCAGAACAGTTCGGAGCAGGCTCCCGGGGAGATTTAGTTGTTAGAGTTCGACAAGAAAGGTTTCACAAAGGAGCTGAGTTCTGGGGAAAGCGAGAGGTGATTTGGAGAGATGGGTCCGGGTGGGAAAATGTCTGGGAGGGGGTATGCGGAGTTCCTCAGAAGCCGGGGACAGTGAGAAAACTGCCGTGGTGTCCTGGAAGGGGTGAGAATGCCCGCGGAGGTGGGAGTCGAGAGGGAAGCGGGCAGCGCCGGCAGCCAGTTTACCTGGGTGAGAATCCGGCCCTTGTTGTGGTCAAACAATGGAGGCGTCCGGCGGCAGCAGCCTTCTGCGCTGGGTGCGCGAGGGGTTCCTCATCACCTGGGCGGGATGCTCGCCTCCTCTGCCCGGACGCAGGGCGCCCTGAAAAACACACAGCACCCCATGCAGCGGCTCCTCCGCAGCCGCCCGCTCCCCGGTCCCCCGGCGCAGCCATGACCGCCTCTCCCGGGACCCGCTTGGAAGGGCTCCAAGGCGCGGCTCCACCGGCGACGAGGGCGGCCGCGCTCCCCCTTCCCTCTGCTCCAACAATGGAGCCGGGCTCGGGAGTCCGGCTCCCGCGGGGCCTCGCCCGGCCTCGCCCTGCCTGCTGCCCAGCCCTTGCTCGTGCCGGCCGCCATCTGCGCCCCCCGGCCCTGCTCCCCCGCACTGCGGGCCCGCGGCCGCCCGCCAGAGGCCCGAGGGGCGGCTTCTCGGCCCGGAGTCCGCCCGGCTGCGTGAAGACGCTCTGACCTTCCCCGCCATCCCCAAGGGCCGGGCCAGCCCAAGGCCCATCCTCCGGCATGGGTTGTTTTTCTTTTCTTTAACCCACTCCACCTCCTTCCCACCCCCAGCCCACTCCCCGGCCCCCGGCCCCCGCCTCCCTCCAGGAAAGAAAGAGACTGCGGCCTGGCCGCTGAGAACTCACTCCAAGTGAGGGGAGTCGGCGCCCCAGGCCGCGGGCGCCGCGCACCCACCTCCCTTTTCACAGGGACACCTCACAGGTGCGCCTCCGAGCCGCGCGCGCGCGCGCTCCGCACACCCAGACGCCTCCGGGGGACAGCGCGCGTGCGCACGCACGAGGCCGGGGAGCCCCGGGGGAGCGGGGGCCGTACGCATGCGCGCCTCCCGGCCCGCGCCCCCACTCCCCGCCTCCGCCCCCGCCCCCGCTTCCCAGCCCTGGCCCTGCCCGGCCACCCCGCACCCCCGCGCCCGACGCGCGCGCTCCCGCTCGCCTCCCTCGCTCCTCCCCGCGCGCTCGCCCCGGCCGCGTTTCCCAGGGCAACCGCAGTGCCGCCGCACCTGAGCTGTGCGCCTGCGTCCCGCTGGCCGGACCCTCCCTTCCCCTCGGCCCTCGCCCCCGCCTCGCACAGCCGGGGGGAAGGGGGGCGCCGCTCCACCTCGCCAAGTGAGTATCAACCCGGCCACCCCCGCCCCGCCCGGCCGACACAGACCAGCCGCCGCGCCGGCGCCTCGCCCGCCGGGTCAGCGGGGCCAGGCCTCGCCGCCGGCCCCGCTCCCAGGGTGCACCGCGGCGAGCGCTCGGGTGGGACCGTGTGAGATGCGCGGGGCGGGCGGCGCCCACTGACCTCCGTCGGCGGCCCGGCCGGGGCAGCGCCCGAGCCCAGCCAGCCCCGCCCGCCCCGCCCGCCGTGCCCCGCCCATGGGCAGCCAGCTCCCGCCGCCGCCCGCCGGGAAGACCCAACCGAGCGGGACAGCCGCCTGAAGGAGCGCAACGGCGGCGCCCGCAGGTGAGGCGGAGCCCGGGGTGTGTCGAGTCCGGCCCCGCTCACCTGGCGGCGCCGGAAGGGCCGGGAGGGGACGGGAGTTCGTGGCGAGGACTTTAAAAACCCTCCCCCCCCGGTAGACGGGGGACGGGGTCCTCCCGCCCCATCCCCGGGGCTCGGGAGCCACGCTAGCTCTGCGGGGGGCAGGGCTGGTCCCGGGCGAAGGCAACTTGGGGGACGCGGAGTAGTGGGGGAGAGGGCCCCTGAGGCGCGGCAACCCCCGCGTCCGCCCCCTCGGGGTCCGCCGGCCCCTTTTGGGGAGGGGGCGCCACGGCCCACGCTTCCGTCCAGGGTGCGGACGAGCAGCGGCGCGCGCCCACACCAGTGTCAAGGGGGGAGGAGAGGCCGGCCCCGGGGCGCTCCTGGCAGCCCCGGGGTGGGATCGCAGGGCGAGGGATCCGCATTGCAGGTGCACCAGGAGCGCCCGGGGCCTAGCCCGGCTTTGTCTGGGATGCTGTGGGGAGGAGGCCGCCTGAATCCACATCGCCTTTCTAAATGCATGTAACCACCCGGGGGACCTTAGAGACCCTCACTGACAAGTTGTATCGCCTCCTGTCCTGGTAGCCTCTCCGTAAGTACCCCGCCTGCCAGCCCCTTCCTGAAGCTTTCGTGCGGCTTTAGTTTACTCTAAATAACGATTTGCCGGTGATTCGTGAAACGGAGCTGAATGCACAAATGCAGCAGAGCCCCAGGCTTGGCTACTGGGCTGCCGTCTGCCGCTGCCAGTGAGTTTCTCTGACTTAGGTTTTCGTGCTAACCTGTATTGTTTCGTTTCAAGCTTTGATTTTTTAGCAGCACGATCTAGTCCACTAAGGCGGCCTGAGAGAAAACGTAACAGGGCTCTGTAGCTTAGGTTGCAGTAGTTGGTTTTATAACAAAATACAAGCTACCACACTGTAATACTTTAATATTTACGCATTTCCAGAAAACTGTAAGAGAATTAAAGCTAGGATTGCCGTTTTAAAACTTTCACGTTTGAAAATTTTTAAAAGGCATTGGGATTGATCAAATGATTTTTTTGGGTGGGGAGCACAGTCAAGTATTCCCATGCATTTTCTCGCCATTGCATTGTAAGGAAAAAGATGCTAACGTTTAAAGTGCCTTTTACCTCCAAAGATGTTTTGAAATGTATGTAATTATTTTGGATGAACTGTTTGGAAGCGGGCTTTAAAACTCGTGATTGTATATTCGGGTATGCGTACCTAAATATACACACCACTGAAAACCCTTAAAATAGTTTTGTTACCTCTCTGCATTATATTCTGATTACTCAGTAGTTTTAGTTTAGGTACATTTAAAATCTAAAGTACAGGACAATTATTTGTGTCAGATTTTTACTGTAACACTTTTAAATACATCAGTCTAACAAATAGGTTTTTTGGACGTTAGATATTTTTATTAACTTTTTTTTATAAAGCGAATCATTCATTTGGGTTTATAATTCTTTCTTCTGCCATGTTGGATAAATCGATCTCAACATAATTACCTAACTGGTAGGATGCCTTTGCAACAATCCTAACGTTAATACAGTGTTGATGCTTTTAAGAAATACTTATATTAAAAAGCATTTTCTCGTATTTCTGACGAGAAAAGACATGGAACTTTTTCCTTCTATCTGGAACAAGGTCAGCCATAAATAGTTTCTAATACATAGTGGGCACATGTTTGTTAACTAAGATTAATTATATCTACTGAATTGACTGAATTCCATATCCGTCAAAGGCAGTGACTAGGTGACTTTGTATCTTCACACACCAATGTTGCAGTAAATGTTTGAGTCATATTGAGGTTTCAGCCTGGTTAGGTTGGTGTTAACTTAATAACACCAATTTTCACAACTTCAGCTCTGTTTTAACCTGCAGAAGGATTTGGGCAGGGAAGTGGCTGTGTCCTATTGTTTTCAAATATTTGAAGGTCTGTTATGCAGCAAGGGATTTCATTTATTTTGAGTAATTATTGAGTACGGAAAAACAGATTTCACTTCTATGTAAGGCAAAAGTTGTTTATGATGAGAATTTCTAGTGGTGGAAAGAAGGGGCTGCTCCTTCCATAGGGGCTTTCGGGATCAGCTGGTTCCCCACTTGGCGTGAATGGCTGCTAAGAGGTATCACAGCGATATGGGAGGGTCTTTCTAAGAGGGACTCCTGGGTATTCCGATGGCAACTATATCGTGGACTTCCGTACTTCCCTTTTAGCGCTGTGTTTTGTTTTTTGTTTTCTCATGCTGGCTTCTACAGTTGTGGACATAGCAACATCCCCAGACACCTGCATGAACCCTGGGAAGACTTTAGTAGGTTGAAGACCCACCTGGTATCAAAGATGATTCTTAGTCCTGCTTTGCATTTGTATGGCGCATTACAGGGAATAAAACACTCTCAAATTTAATGTGTTGTTTTAAAAGACTCTTTTTAATGATGTATGATTTGTATTTCTTTCTTTAACTTTTATTTTCTACAGTAGACATTGAATCAAGAGGAAAATTGCCCAAGCAGAAAAGTCTTTTTTTAAAGCTCTTTTTTTAAAATGGGATGGTGCCAGCAGGTTGTGAAGGTGAATCGTTCTTTTACTTAGCTGAAAACATTTTTTTAAAAGATACTAAATAAGAGATGATTCTTGTGCTTGCTCTGCATTTTAGTTTGTTTATTTCATTACTCAAACATGACTCAAGTTTCACAGCAAAAAGTCCAGTCATATCCACCTACATTAAGTTGCACTGGAGGTTTTTTTCAGTATGTCTGCATGGTTTTTAAAATATGCTGGCAGCTGAAGGTAAAACAAAGCCAAGAAGTAGAATTACAGTGAGCCGAACGAAAGCTTAGGGGAATTGGAGCTTTTGTGTTTGAAGAAGAAAAAGATACACCTTATTTGTATGAAACCAATCTTGAGAATGATGGTTTTGTCAACAAGGGCAGCAATGATTTATCTATTGTAACAGAGATTCAGCTACTGAGTGTCAATCTAATACATGTACTAAGTGGGTCAGTGAGGTTGGGACTCTAGTCTGTGACTAAGAAGCAGAGCAGAGTTTCCTGTGAACACCGAAGTGTCCAATACAGGAGGATTGAAATGCAGCAAGACAGTAATGAGGTCAATTGAGTTAAACCAAGGTCTGACCTCTCCAGTTTAGGAAGAAGAGAAAAAAAAATCAGAATTAACGTCTACATAGACTTACTTTTTAAACATCTTTTAAAATAGTTACTCTCTTGTTCTTTAGCAGATGAGTTTGTTTCATGCTTTTGTGTCTCTTACCCATTAGCTGACTTTGGTGTGATAAGTGACAATGACTCCTCAAACTTTGAACACGGAGTGTACCATTTATGCTGTATACATGAAGCGAAAAGTTAAGAATATCAAGCTTTTCTGGCCAAACAAGAAATAAAAGAAAACCTTAAAAGTATTTGTTTTTTTTGTTTTTTTTTTTTCAGGAAAAAAAAATTACAGATACTACTTAAATATTATCACCAGGACAACAAATTACCAAATAAGGCAACCAGTTAGAAAGCAGCATTTTAGAGGTTAAAGGTTGCATTTTAAAGCCTTTAACCATGACTTCTGAAAGGATTACACAAACATCTTAAAAGACCTCTTTGTTAATCAGAAAACAGTTTATATTTACATGCAAATTTCCACACTGGAGAGCAGACTAAGGTGAATCCTTTCATGATTATTCCCAATTTACTGCTTTATCAGAACTTTAGGAAGCAAGAAATGTCTACTCTTACTGTGAAGGAGTAGGTTTTCTCCTTCTTTCTGAAATTCTTTATTCTAGCTGAATTCTCAGACTGAGCAGTGAACTTCCATTGGTTAGCACCATATAGAGCAAGCCTGATAAAGCTGCTTACAATAAGGGGGAAAATGACAGAAGAAAACTTAATAAAACATGGCCCATAATGCTCTGCTTCTACAAATTCTCTCTTTGTTGCCTCTTTGGCAACACTTAAGATATTAAAGTTAGGTCTCATAAGATCCATCATCATTTGCACTTCAGATTTCCTTTCCAAACTATTTCTAAATGCGTCCTGTGCCCTTCTCATATACTACGCAGGTAAGAGAGTTTCTTTTTTCTTTTTTTAGACGGACTTTCGCTCTTGTTACCCAGGCTGGAGTGCAGTGGCACAGTCTCGGCTCACCGCATCCTCTGCCTCCTGGGTTCAGGCAATTCTCCTGCCTCAGCCTCCTGAGTAGCTGGGATTACAGGCACGCGCCACCGTGCCCAGCTAATTCTTTGTATTTTTAGTAGAGGTGGGGGTTTCACCATGTTGACCAGGATGGTCTGGATCTGTTGACCTGGTGATCCACCCACCTCGGCCTCCCAAAGTGCTGGGATTACCGCGCCCGGCCAAGAGGGTTTATGAGAAGTGGTTAAAGCCCATTTTCTTATGTAACATTGTGTAAGCAGTAAGCTATATCTAAATTGTAATTCCCAGTATTATTACAATATATGTTTCTTAAAGTTGCACATTTTTGTAGCATGATACTTTCGTATAATAGAGGACACATAAAAATACTGGGTTCCCAAGAGAAAGTTCCGTCTCTGTCATAGCGTAAGTATCTTAGGATCTCCTAATTTTTCTAATGATAAATGAAGGTAAGAGGTTAGGCTCATGCCATACCCCAAACATTGAAGGAGGCTTTTTGTAACTCCTTTCTCTCCAGCTATCACACACATCAACCCAGATGAAAGGCACTGCTAGTGTTTCTGCCTCGGTAGCTAGTAACACGGGAGAGCAGATGTACTTTTAAAACATAGCCAGGTCTTGCACATTGATAAGAAAGATGGAGAAAGGTTGGAGTTTTTGGCTCAGTTTTGTGTTCCCATAGATAAGAACATAGCAGAAGTTACTAGGTCTGGCCTGTCAGTTTTCAAGGAAGGTCAGTATTTGATACTGAATCGTCTTTTGCTTGGGTCCCTATGACCAGACCAGAAAGTTCTAGTGAAATAGAGCAGCAGCTTTCTGGCATTAAGGTAATTGCTCATTGATGTGTCCTGTTTTCTGCAGGGTTGGAGGATATGTAATCCTCAGCCTCTGCAATGTGATAGATTCCAAGTGAGGAATTCTTTTCCATCAATACAGTGGTCAAGTCAGTTTTTGACAGGTCTACTGGTACCATAGGCTGTGGTATCAGGACCCAGTTCAGAGATGAACAAACCCAAACCGTATTGTTTGAGGGCAAAGGCAGGTTTTTAGGGGAGAGACAAAATTAGGAACAAATAAAGCCAGAAGTGAGACCTTGGAGACGGGTTGAGAGCTGTCCATTTGGAGGTGTTCTTGTATCTCGTCCCTGGTTGCAGGATGGAACTCAGAGCTTGGGTGACCAATGGCTAATTCTAGAACACTCCACTGAATGTTACTCATTAGCAGACTGTGGTTAGAGCAGAGAGCCTTTCTAAGTAGTCTCAGGATGCCAGTGGGACCTGCCTGTGCAGTGACCATCTTGAGTCTGAAGTGTAAGTGGAAAGCAGCAGATTAGCCATTCCTATGCTTGAGTTTAATTGAAGTCGTCAAGTAGTTGGGCCAGCATGTTCCTACAGAAGAAACTGGAAGTCCTCAGCACGTTAGTAGCCAGCAG